AAATGTTTCTGTACTAACAACAAAATTATTATATTTAAATTTACCCGTGTACGTTATTTTTTTTAACGCAATTTTGTCGAAGGTTATAGTTTTCTTTTTGACATTGTTTTACATCTCCCCTTTTTTATTAAATATTATGTTTATATTGTGTCATAGATCAAATTTATTCGTTCAGTGTATGTTTACTTGTTTTTGTTAATATGTCGTTTTGATTGAGTTAAGCCATTTCAATTGATATTTTATAGTGTGTCTTTCTATGTTGTAATGTTACACTACTATTTCAGGTAAGGCTGAAGGTTGGCGCCTGTTAAAACGTTTAAACCCGCTGCATTGGTTTGTACCTGTCCTAAGCTAGGAACCTGTTGTTCGGTGGTTGTCGTTTGTTGATGTGGTTCATAAGTGTTTCTCGTTTCTCGGTTTTTATATAGATTAGACAGTTGGTTTTCCTGTTGGAATTGTTTTACACTGGTCTTTTGGGACCCTTTATAGCTTGCTGTTCGGTGTGAGCCAAGGCTCTGTGTTGAAGGCCGTACTTTGACTTATAATTGTTTTACACATTGTGACTTGGATGGAGAGTTGTCTCATTGGCACTCTTACAAAATCTTCTTATTTCTAATTCTACAGCTAGAATTTTTTCATTTCCCTCGTTGATTTCTTTTATCTTATGCGATAAGTGTTTGTCCAGGCAATTACAACTCCACCTTTTCCTCTTGGCAAATTAAAGTTGTGGATGTTGTCGTAGGTGTCACTACAACGTATATCATAATCCATATTTGGAAGTATTTCTCCGAGAGATTGTTTTTGGCATTCGTATAGCCAATATTCTTGTATGCAAATGATGTCCGACGTTTTTTCCAAGACTTGATAAAAATAAAATATTCCGTTTTCCTTCCATGTTGCAAGACAATATATTTATGGGAAGTTTCTGGCACTTCCCTTCTGTTGTGTCATTTGCATGTCGACTACTTCTTTTTCATAGTCTGGAGGAGGCTTTGAATCTAGCTTGTATAGAAAAGGATACTTCTCAGATTCTCCGTTTTTTGACGACGATCGCTCTTCGTTATAGACTAAAGTTTTAGGAAGAAGAGTGGTACATTGATCTTGAGATGGAGTGTTCTCTGCAGTTTAAGGACAGGAGTCATAAATCAAGGTGTTTCCTGTATCCGCTGGAGACACAAAAGTTGTTTGTCAATCTTTTTATATGAGGCGAGCGGCAGTTCATTCTCTTCTTCCTTTTCCCAATAATTTGTCGTTTACCTAGTTGCGTGTTTAAATTTTGTCGAATGTTGTTGATCTGGGGAGAATGAAGAGTTTTACTAATTGTTTGATTACTATCAAACTGATTGTAGGAGTTGTTGGCAATGCGATCAATTGTCTTCCTTTGTAATTCAATTGTTGACTTTAATTTATTGAGTTCGCTCTCAAGCTTCAAAATATATGCTCTCTCATCACAGTTTTCAGTCTTGATTTTTTCTACTTTTTATGTTGTTTTTTTTCCCTTTTTTGCAGGGTTTAGCGTAGTTTGATCAGAAGGAGGGGTAAAAGATGAGGTTTGTGGTTCATTATGATCTTGTGAAGTACTACAGTAGATTTCCTGTGTATTTGGAAGAGGAGTTTCGTTTCCAGTCTTTTGCTGGTCTTGACCAGTTATTGTGCTATAGTTTCATCAGTGTTACGTTGTTGTTTTAGATGTGTAAGTTCATGATCTAGGCCCCATTATGATTAATACGCCCATTGTCATGATGACATTCTTTCTCCCTATGATCGGAATGCTTGGTTATTGGAGAAATGTTGTAGTTTCGATTTTGATATCTGATCACTAGTTGTGTTTAGACTGTATAAGAGGTTTTCTGAGCATAAATGACAGACAAAGTCGTTGTTATTGAGAATTTCGATAGATTGACGAGTAATTCCAGCACGGTCAAAATGGACCCAGAGAGCACAATCACTTCATTCGATGGTTTCGTTACGAGCGATTTGATTGCATATTGTACAAAGTTCATCTTGTTTGGATTTAGACTTATCAGTCCTATAAAAGTACCCTAGTTCTGTTGGATTTGCGAGTATACAGATAATAGAAAGGGTTGATGGTTTGGTTTGGCGTAATACATCATTCTTCGTGTCATTGATTACATTGCATTCACTGGAGCTAGTCACAGATTTGATATTGGCACTGATAGAGTCATTAAGTAAATTAAAAGTGTGTCCTTTGGCTTTTAAATCGGAGCAAAGTTTGCCATGTATAACAGTTTTGTATAGGTCAAGACGAGACCCCATAACCGCAAGGTAGAAAGTAAAATCACAAAAATACTGAACTCCGAGGAAAATTCAAAAAGGAAAGTCCCTAATCAAATGGCAAAATCAAAAGCTCAAACACATCAAACGAATGGATAACAACTGTCATATTCCTGACTTGGTACAGGCATTTTCTTATGTAGAAAATGTGGATTGGAACTGGTTTTATATCTAGCTAAACCTCTCACTTGTATGACAATCGCATCAAATTCCAGAGGAGACAACACGTAGATGCTCCCATCGTTGGAAAGCCCCTATATCTCTCCAAGGACTACCCTAATAAAAAAGTAAACAATTTTAATCTACATCCAGCAGTCCCTTTGTATTTTACGTCTAATGTCTTTTTTAGCCAGACTTGAGATAATATCGGGAGTGAATGAATACCGTCTTTATACAGGAAAAATGAATAGTTGTCTCTGAGTGTCAAATGCTTTGATGCCTGATGTTGATGACTGATGTCGACACAGAGATTTAGAGAGAAAGTATGAAGAGAATGATGTATGGTTCTTATTGCCTCATTTAGTTTAATGGCGTAAGCAGTCAGTTGTTGTTCTTGAGGAGCAAAGATAGTTGTGAGGATAGACTCTATATTTATTAAAACCCACAACTGATGAAGGCGGACATTTGAGGAAAGTAACACGACAGGCTTGATATTTTTTTGTAAGCTCAATTATATTTTTGTGTCTTTCAGTAAGAGATTCTATAAAGGTTTTGTCGTTTGAGGCGGTTATAAATTTACCATTATAGTCGGAGAGATCACAGGTTCCTAACCAAATATATAAATGAATGTTATCAATGTGACCAATTTGTCGGTCAATATTTTCCGTTAGCCCGACTAGACCTTCCCTTGTGGTTCTTCCAGATTTGAACCGCCACTGAATTTCATTTTTCTATAATTCCTGATTGACTGAATGGTATTAGATATATAGCTTTGATGTCGGTTAGGATAACTGGTGTTCGAGTGTTTGTGCCAACGAAAGGGGGCACACTTTTGCGTAAATAATTTTCAAGCTTTTACTCAGTCATAAATGATGATAGAGTATCTAATCAAATCTTCGGAATGTTTTGGGGTTAATTTAAAGCTTAAAGCAATGCAATATATAGACAAACATGGGGAGACAGGGAATCTACAAAAACATTATTCATTGGCAGCCGCCATTTTTTCCCGTGCTGACAAAGACAAAAATCTAAAAATCTAAAAAGGCTCTTAAAGTGCACAATAAGACGTAAACAATGGACAAATATAGCAATACTAATATTTGAATTAAATATTTAAATAAGTTTGGTGATTGTATGATTTTTAATGAATTGACAATACTACAATCTAAAAGAGTTTCTTCTCAATGCCAATAAACGTTCGTGCTTCTGTACATTCGTACATCACTTGTTTCCCACGTGACACATACTTCGAAACTTGAAGCGCGCAACCTTATCTGATCTGTTTATGTTTGTGTGAATTCTTGACCGAAGTTTTATGATGCCTGCATGCTGTCTATTACGGAATATGCAGAGACGGGCCAAGAAAATAAACAACCCTATTAAATGTAATCAAACCACTCATCCATTAAACCACGATTATACAATTCTATAATCTACCAGTAATAGAGTTTAGTATAAGTGTTGAGGACACTAACAACACACCAAGTCTAGCTCAAAGTGAACACGGCCATAGATTGTTTCCAATCCTAAGTAAGGTGTCATAAAAAAAAATCTCCCAACAAAGGCTTATTGATAAAATACTAATAAAGTATTAACATATTGTCGTTTTAGAAGATTTACAAAACGGCGACAAACAAGAACAATTGCAAAGAAGAGTATGATACAAAATAAATGAAAGTTTACAAAATACAGCCAAAGAAAGGGGTGTTAACTGAAATTTATTTTTTTGGTTGTATATTGGCATTGACAGATATTTTTCGTGTGTAAAAACTGCCGGTGATGTTTATCAATAGAAAATAAAATTCTTTAATTTAATTATAATTACAAATTTGAACATAAAGTTGTTTATTGTCGACGTCCATAAAAAGAAAATTAACAACGGCTGCTATATATTTATATCTTCCATTTTGAGAACAACCCGAATAATACAATAATTTTTGTTATATTCCGAACACTACGATCACTCCATTTGGAGGCAGAGAGAATCGGGGACGGTAAGGGCTTGAATTGTTCGAGTTATTTTGAGAGTCCCTGTAGTTTTTTCACTTCGATTCGGGAATATTGCGCATATGCGCATTAGCACTGGTTGTATAGCTCTGCGAATCGAAGTAGGCCCAATATACTTATACTACTTATACACATTGATATATACATGTATATGTATAAACTGTGGTAGCCGTAGGATATAATACTACCATGATATTGCCGAGTAACTATAGCAATCAATCAGTCGAATATGGGTCGTCATTAATTCGTGAATAAAAGTTAAGCGCAGGACAAAATTGTATGCAACACTAACCTGACAACTGATGAGTAATCATGATAGCGACTGTCAAATTTGTGTAATAAAAATCCAATCAAAACCGGAAGTGATATCAGCTATTGCGGAACAGTCGATTATCGCCTAGATAACAGTTTACGTGATTAGACAAAAATGTTTCCTACTAGAAACAGAGTAACAGGTTTTTTGATTGGCTATTTAAAGTAAAAAGGAAAATAAAAAGGAAAATGTCATCAGTTTTGGTCGAAATAAAAAAAAACAATCCTTTCTATTATGAATTATTAAATATCTTTTATTTTGTTTCCATTTGTAATTCTTAACTCTTTCTGGAATCTGAAAAAAACAAAAGATAAATGTAAAGCACATTTTTATTCAAAATTATATACCTGCATTCCTTCTTCATATTGTGTGTGGATATGTAATATGTACTTTGAATAGAGTTTTATTTTGGAAAATATACCATTCAAGGTAAATTGCTTAAGGTAATCTCGTTATATCCAATATAAAACTTGTTTCCTTGTTTTTTAAGATGTCAAAGGGTCAAGTGTAGTTCATTTGTGAACACTTTATTTTGCGCTCTACAGGCCTTAGATGTCATTATGTTTGGTTTTTTTTAGGGTTTTTTTTAATGATGTATAATATACGTTTCCCCTTTTATCTCTCTTTATTCTTATGTTCATAAATGAAGTGTGTCTTTTGACAATAGTATGTGCATACATTGTGTCTATTAACATTAATGTGTGCATACATTGTGTCTTTTGACATTAGTGTGTGCATACATTGTGTCTTTTGACATTAGCGTGTGCATACATTGTGTCTTTTGACATTAGTGTGTGCATACATTGTGTCTTTTGACATAAGTGTGTACATACATTATGTCTTTTGACATAAGTTTGTGCATACATTGTGTCTTTTGACATTAGTGTGTTCATACATTTTCTGTATGGATTCAAAGGAAAAAGTAAAATAACAAAAATACCGAATTCCAAGGAAAATTCAAAACAGAAAGCCCCTTATCAAATGGCCAAATTTAAAACTCAAACACATCAAACGAATTGAAAACAACTGTCATATTCCTGACTTGGTACAGGCATTTTCTTATGTAGAAAATGGTGGATTAAACCTAGTTTTATAGCTAGCTGAACCTCTCACTTGTATGACAGTATAGAGTATGACAGTATTTCGTTTGTAAATACAAACAGCTATCATCAGCAATATACGATTACATGGTAAATTGAAATAATGTAGGCAGAAGGTGGTTTGTGATTGATTGATAATTGTTGGTGCTGTACGCAACTTTCATCACTTTTATAAATATCATTGTGGCCAGGTTTTATTGATGAAGAAAGCCGCGGTGGGGCCTCAAGTTAATTCGATAGGAATTTGGCAATGCTCGACAAATACGGTCGTGCGACGTTTGTACTCACAACCTTAGTGTTATCAGGTTTTTGTCACTGTAAATGAATTACTTAAACCACTATCATGTAAGAGGGTCTGTATGGGGTTTACAGAATAGAGAATAATGGCCCAAAATATGTAATGAATAGAAAAAATGAGCAAAATATATAAAGAATAGCGATTAATGAGGTGATAAAGTATAACGAAAAACTGTGGAAATTAAAGAATAAGGTAACATAATACTGATTGCAGAAATGAGTGTACAGAATAAAGAAATCCCCTAATTACTGAATACAAATTAAAGGTAAAATCATTTTCATGAAAATTTTACAGAATACGCATAATTTTTAAAGATAAAGAAAAATGCCATAGAATTTAATGAATACAGAGATTAAAGACCCTCATTTAACTGTCTAAAATAATTTGTGGTGTAAATACCAATCTAATCTATCCTATGTAATTCCTTGAAATGTGTAATTTGTGGCTTGTCTAATGTCTTTCTAAGGGTTTGAGATACGTACTTTTAAGACTCAGTTTTGAATTGTAATATAACTGTTTCATTTTATTATGATTTAACTTCTATTTCACGACACATGTACATGTACCATCAAATGTCTCATTCATGGCCGCAATATACAAAATACTTACACATATGTTACGGACAAGCAGCCTGGCATTCAGCAATACTTCGGAAATTGTTACCATTTCCCCCACAGCCACCGTATGTAAATTGTTCACATTGTGCCGTTCGCCAATTGTAATAGTATCTCAGAAAGCGTGCTCTACATAGTCCGGTTACGGACTCTAGATTACAAACTACAAAATATATCGTATAGGTCATTTAGTAAAACACTAGTTTGAAGCAGTATATTCATTATTTAAAACATTTGACAAAAACAAATTCTATATTGATACATTGATACATCAATATAAATACAAAAAGGCATTTACATACATATATGATTTAAAACAAGATTCTTTTTTTTTTTGGCGAGGGTCATTATATTATGACGGTATGCATTTTATTTCTAATGTCTCCCAAATGAATGCCAAGCACTATCAAATACAGTTACTAATTCGATTGTGGTGTTAAGCGGAAACTTGTATTATCAGGTTTCAGCTTACAAGCTTCAACAATATTATAGTGGGTTTGACAGAAAAACTATATCATGTATCTGTTAATGTAGTGTATGCTACTAGTTTAAAAGAATAACTACCTTAGACGAATAACAGAAAAAAAAAATTCTGGTAAATCACGTGTTTCTTGATCAATCTTCAGGTGTCCAACTCGGGTTCAGACTAGAGTTAAAAAATAGTGCTACTGCGCACGTGCGATACCTTCCTTAATAATGTACGCTAGGACTCGTACGATTTGATTGTCAACTCTAAATAAAGGATTTAAGAGAATAATTAACAAATTTTTATAAACTTCAAATTTACAGAAAAATGCATCATTTAATTTTGACAAGTAATTCTAATTCATGAATTTTGTTGTTATGAACTATTCCAGGGTTTGATGAAAGGGGTCGTAATTGTCCCTGATAGTAAAAAAATAAAGGCGAGCGGAGATGATTTTATTACGATGTATTGTTGTTTATTGCTGTCTATCATGCTTCGTTTTTAAACATTAATTAGACCTATATGTCAATTTGTCTCTGGTGGGTAGTCTCATTGGCAAAACAACATCTCCTTATTTTATTTTTTTTCATTTTATTTTATAAAAAACGTAAAATATACAATGTAGTTTGATTCACAATTATTCTTTAAGTTTAAAAATTCCCAAAGTAACAAGCATGTTTTCATTTTTTTCATTCTTAGTTCTTTTCCCAGATCTGTACTTCTGTCTTAAAAAATAAATGTTTGTTATGAAATATATCTGATGCACGGACTCAGACGGCCCTAACTAAAATGTTAGCATATATAATATAGAACGGTGTACTATAAAATGCCATAATTTAATACTTACTTGACCAAAAATCAACAATTTGTAAAGAATTTATACTTACCATTATACCCGTCTACACCATTCGGAACAAGGCCAACTAATATGAAGAAGACACACAATAATTTGATATGGCTTTCCATGATTAAAATAATAAAATATCAGTAAAGCTTGCTTTATATATAACTTACATAACTTACACGTAACTTTATAAAGTGTTGTAATATGTTAGAAAACACGATGTTTACGCCCACTATTACTGCACTATGCTTTTGATTTGTTTACATTAAAACATGGAAATTCGTAATTATTTGTTTTAATTGGATTAATGTATAAGGTAACTTCTTGGATAAAACCAACATGTAATAACTTAATGGTAGAAGAGCTAGTCTTCAGTGGATGAAAATATTTAGTACATTTGTCCATGTCATTAACGAACGTGTTTATTTTTAATGTTTTGTTGAAGATTAAATATAGATAACAACTGATGAATTAAATTCAAAGTGAAGAAGGAAATGGAAAATATGAAAGTTTCCTCAAAAGAAAAACACTAACATTACTTCAAAACAAGGTATTCATTGTAACCCTCTAGATCATCAATCCTGTTGGTTAAAATTTCATTAAATGTCTTAAATAAAGGGCCATTTCTTACAAACGTTGATCCCCTTTTTACATTTAAAGAAATATCCAGAAAGGAACATTTGTGATTTTCAATATGAAGCTCTTTGTTTAAATGCTTGTTAAATAAAACCTGTGTTAGAGTGTTTCTGAAAGAGTACAATATTTACCTTTGTTTAAGAAAATGTATGGTCTTCCGAATCATTTCTGTATTTCATAAATTGATCTTTTTTTATTTTTTTTTTTATTTTCGAATAAATTCATTCTATGATCACGATGAAGTAAATAACTATACACCTTATTACGTACAGAAAATTTCTGCTGAAAATTGTCACTTTGTTTTTATAATTGTGTGTTAAACTTTTTGTGACAAAATTGAATGCTCTGTATCAGGTAACACTTATCCAAAGCTGTTATTCATTACGTTATCATATTGTCATTTTTTTTTGTTTTAAATCGAGAGAAGCTTATTGTAATTATCTATCATTCTGTTTTATTGTATAGATTGTTGTTTGTCTTACCATGGAAGAACTTATATTGACTCCTTTCATTTTACTTCCATGGTCTTACATAATACCGTTTTTCTACTGTAGATTGTGTCTGGCATACACAATTATAATTCTGGTATCTACGATGGGTTTATTTATATGTAATGGCAGCAAAATTGGACATTCGTTTTGTAATAAGAAAGAACTGTCGCGGAGAGCTGATAAAAAATAATAAGATAACAATCTTTATCGATGATGTATTTTCGTTGAAGTATTGAAGAAGAACAATATGTTAATTATTCTAAATATAAATATTTCAAGGTGAGCAAATTTTTCTTCTTTTAACTTAATTGAATTATTTTGTCTGTAAATACCAAGTTAAAATATGCTATTGAGCTTATATAAGGGTTGCAGCATCCACGAACACAAAGTTTGTTATTCTGTTTGTTATCCTGCTCTTAAACTGTTTCTATTTTTGGCTTTTCAAACTTTCAGACTCGAGCGTACTCAAAAAAAAATTATTCCAAAACACGTTTCTCGAGTGTACGTGATGAAAGTTGATAAAAAAAATGTCTCTAGCTTACCTTGTGAAGGTTAATCCAAAAAAAGGTGTCTCTAACATACCTGATGAAGGTTAACGATTAAATAAAAGGTGTCTCCACCATACCTGATGAAGGTTCATCCAAAAACGTATCTTGAGCCTACTTGATGAAGCTTATTCCAAAACGTGTCTCGAACGTAACGATGAAGATTATTCCAAAACACGTGTCTCGAGCGTACCTGATGAAGGTTATTCCATTACATCGCAGGCGATTGGGTATATGATACAGATATTTTTGGGGATTTTTTGTTGTGTTGATTAAAACATTGAATTTTCTATATTTAAACTACATATCTATCACTACTGCGCATGTCTCACCTAGTTGCGAGTGATTTTACCAACTCTGAGACAACCCATATTTTACTATCCACACTAAGAAATAAAAAGGCAACTAACTCGACGCCATCTATAAATAGCTATAAAAAAAATAATAGAATTGACCTACCTGGATTCCCCATCAATTTTTATGGAAAACGTGCCTTTCTCGCAGTCCGATCGCAGACGTCGTTTCTATTTTAAAGGGAAGTAATTTTTTCCCGGACTTTTTTGGAACATCTCTGCAAGTACACATGCAACAAATAAAGTGATACGATGATTTCCGAACTATTATCAAAAAGGCGCAAATTTTTCGAGACAGATTGTCACGCTGACAAGTTCCCATGAGGAATCAGTCCGTAGTAATTCTCTCAAGGAACATCGCGGATTACTCCAAAAATAGTTCGTATACTCTTAAGGCTGAAGGTACAAAAGTAAATCTTCTTTCACTTTCACTTTCACTTTCAACTTTCAACTTTGGAGCAACACTATAAACAGCATATATATAAATGGTACTATATGACTGGAATATACTGAATTGAGAATAATGAAATAAAAAAAGAAATTTATTCAAACATGTGTATAATCTGATTGTCTTCAAACGTCAATATTATTTGACAGTACAGCACAGGTTTGGTATCAAAATGCAACATTTTGACGTGAACTCTGTGTCTGATTCAATGTCTTTCAGCCACTATACATCTCATTATACTCTTTATTTCTGATTAAGTACCAAAGCCCTTTCCACTATAACAAAATATATAGACTAAAAAAAAAATCCTTGGAGATCCAAGACAAGTAGCAACTTTATTTGAAAAGTAGCTTGCAAATGATGAGCACGAGTTAATCGAGTCAACAGCCGCATAAGGGTATATGATTTTTTTTTATTTTATTTTTGTTGATTCAAATATTCAATTTTCTAATATTCATACTACATAAATATCACTGATTTTTTACTGACTCTGATACTTTACTACCCCTACTAATGAACACTAATGATATCCTATCCTAGGGGATATGTCTTACTGGGGATGTCTTATAAAATTATGCCAAGGGGAATAGCTTTGTATGATAGTGCCCTAGGAGGAGGTATTTTTATAATGATTCCAAGGAAAGTGTTTTTATTTAATGATACCCTAGGGGTGTCTTCTTTTAATGATGTCCAGGGGATGTCTTTATAATAATGGCCAGGGAAGATTTCTTTATATAATGATGCCCAGGGGAATGCTTAATATAATGATACCCTAAAAAATGTCTTTTGAAATGATGCCCTAGGGGATGTCTTCTTATAATGATGTACATGAGGTGTCATTTTGTAATGATGACAAAGGGAGAAGTCTTTATAGTAATGGCTAGGGGAATTTTCTTTATATATAATGATGCCCAGGGGAATGTCTTTTATAATGATGCCCAGTTGAATGTTTTAATGTAATGATACCCTAAAAAAAATGTCTTTAACAATGATGCCCTAGGGGATGTCTTTTTATAATAATGCCCAGAGGGATGTCTTTTTATAATAATGCCCAGGGGATGTCTTTTTATAATGGTGGCAAGGGGGATGACTTATATAATAATGCCCAGGCAAAATTTCTATATATAATAACACCCTATGAGATGTCTTCTATTAATGATGCCCTAGGGGAATGTCTTATATAATGATGCCTATGGGGAATGTCTATATAATGATTCCCAGGGGAATGGCTTTATATAATAATACCCTTGTGAGATGTCTTAATATAATGATGCCCAGGGAAATGTCCTGATATAATGACACCTTAGGTGAATGTCTTTTTATAATGATGCCCAGGGGGGTGTTTTCATATAAGGATGCTCGATTGGATGTCTTTTTAAAATGATACCCAGGAGCTGTCTTCTTATAATGTTGTCTCTATTATAAACTGTTCTTACAATGGATTACATACAGATGGTCACCTTTAAAACAGTCCATAACTTTTTCAAATCAACTTGGATTTTCATTAAACATTACTGCTATCTTTATTATATACTTTTCTTACAAATAAAAAAAGTTATTTGATATTTGGTTCATTGCGGTGAAATTTAATGTTCTAAGAACATGAAGAAATAGGTAAGAAAAGCTACAATTTTCAGCTCAGATGAAATACCGATGGTAACCTTTAAAAATGTCCATACCTTTTTCAAATCAGCTTGGATTTTCATTTAACTTGACTGTTATCTCTATTATATATTGATCTTACAATTTATAAAGTTATTTGGTATTTTAGTTATTGCTGTAAAATTTAATGTTTTTAGAAAAGTGTTTCAAAAATATAAAATTTTCAGTACAGATGGTCACCTTTCAAAATGTCCATAACTTTTTCAAATCAACTTGGATTTTTACAAAACGTATCAGCTATCTTAATTATAAACTGTTATTACAAATTATAAAGTTATTTGGTATTTGGTTCATTGCTTGAAAAAAAAAACATTTTTTAAGAAATAGGTTACAAAAAGCTACAATTTTCAGTTTGGATTAAGTACAGATGGTCACCTTTAAAAATTTCCATAACTTTTTCAAATCAACTTAGATTTTCATTAAACTTGACTGCTATCTCTATTATATATTGGTCTTACAAATTACAAAGTTATTGGATTTGAGTTATTGCTGTAAAATTTAATGTTTTCAGAAAAGGGTTTCAAATCTAAAATTTCAGTTTGGATTAAGTACAGATGGTCACCTTTAAAAATGTCCTTATTTTTTCAAATCAACTTGGATTTTCACAAAACTTAGTAGCTATCTCAATTATAAACTGTTATAACAAATTACAAAGTTATTTGGTATTTGGTTCATTGCTTGATTTCTTTTAAAATAGGTTTAAAAAAGCTACAATTTTCAGTTTTGATTAAGTACAGATGGTCACAGATAGTAACCTTTAAAAATTTCCATAAATTTTTCAAATCAACTTAGATTTTCATAAAATTTTACATCTATTTCCATTATAACTATTTTTACTAATTGCAAAGTTTTTTTAATTTAGTTTTATTGCTTCAGATTTTATGTTTTTGAAATTAATAGCCTTTTCAGTTGGAAAAAATGCAGATATTCAACTTTGATCATTTCTATTACGTTCATTTTGTTTTAGAAAACATATAAATTCAATGTATCCAGTGTATTGCATTGTACTGCTAAGGTATAAAATTTATAAATATTTTACAAAGGTTA